TTTTAACTTAGTTTTTAATTTCTATAATAAAATATATAATTTAAAGATAACAATATAATACATAAGAATTATCTTATTTTCTGAAAGTATAATATTATTAATAGAAATTCGTTTCTATTAAATAATAAATTATATATAAAATTATTTAAATAAAATAAATAAACAAATTTACCTTAAATCACGGAGAAGTTGACAACTAAGCAAAATTACTATATTTTCAAGATAACAATATAATGCATAAGAAGTATCTTATTTTCTCAAATATAATTTTTAATAGAAATTCGTTTTTATTTTATAATAAATTTTATATGAAAATATGACAAATAATCAAAATTATCTAAATCATGGAGAAATTACAAATCAGATAATTCACTTAAATCTTCTAATAGAAAATATATGTTTAAGATAACAATCTAATACATAAGAATTATCTTATTTTTTAAAATCTAGTATTATTATATACTTTCCTTTTATTATTTAATAAATTATATATGAAATTATTAAAATATGATAAATAAGCAAAGTATAAAACCATGGAGAAGTTGATAAATCAGCATTGCTTTCTTTATATTTAACTATTAATATTTTAACTTAGTTTTTAATTTCTATGATAAAAAAAAATATTTTAAAGATAACAATATAATACATAAGAATTATCTTATTTTCTAAAAGTATAATATTATTAATAGAAATTCGTTTTTATTAAATAATAAAAAAGTATATGAAATTATTTAAATAAGATAAATAAACAAATTTACCTAAAATCAAGGAGAAGTTGACAACTAAGCAAAATTACTTCTTAAATAATAGTATAGATATAGATTAGTTTTTAATTTCTATGATAAAAAAATTATTTTAAAGATAACAATATAATACATAAGAATTATCTTATTTTTTAAAAGTATAATATTATTAATAGAAATTCGTTTTTATTAAATAATAAAAAAGTATATGAAATTATTTAAATAAGGTAAATAAACAAATTTACCTAAAATCAAGGAGAAGTTGACAACTAAGCAAAATTACTTCTTAAATAATAGTATAGATAGTTATTTGCATCCGTTTATTAGTTGGGATTTTCTTTAAAATTTGTTTTGAAAGAATTAAAAAATATTGTAGTCGTTTTATTCTAAGAACTAGTAATAAACTAGACTGATCGTGGCAAAAGAAAAGTATAATTTAGTTTCAAAAAATTAATCTATATAATAATGATTCACTTTTGAAGCTCCTAAAACTATCCACATCAGCAGCCGAGTGGGCCCATGTATTTAAATTTTAAAAGCTTATAGTTTTTTTAAAATGACTATAAACAATGAATACACTTTAGCAAAGTGGTATAAGGCATTTAATTAAGTCTGCAATTGTGTGGGTTCAAACCACGTAGCTGTTATGTATTTTAGTTTTTTCGTTTGGATTATTATCATATGGGCTTTTTAGTTTTAATGTTTTTATGTTTTTTTTTTCCTCTGGACTTATTGTTTAAAGCCCAAAATAGTGGAAAAATCCTAAAGTTTGACGAACTCAAACCCAAAAATAATTAAAAATGGATCAAAAAACAAATATCCAAAAAAAAAGAAAAACAAATGAGTCTCACGCGGCACTATCATGTCCTAATATATATTTTTACTGTTAGAACATATTTCCTAATATATATTTTCAAAAAATTATGTATGTGAAATAAAATAAAATAAATAGTTTTGTTATTTATAAAATAACTATGTAATTTCTCTTCAATTTTTAATAGTTACTATAATTTCATTTTTATCAGACTCCGCCGGATGGATTTCCACAGTCGATGACGCCGTAAAGAAAAATACCACATTATTCATGAACAAAATCCAAACTTACAAAAAAAACATATCCAAACCTATCTATTGAAACCCAAACAACAAATATTAGCTTAAATTAAAGTTATTTTCAAATTGATAATCTATATAATAATGATTCACTTTTGAAGCTCCTAAGGCTATCCACATCAGCAGCCGAGTGGGCCCCACGTATTTAAATTTTAAAAGCTTATAGTTTTTTTTAAAATGACTATGAACAATGAATACACTTTAGCAAAGTGGTATAAGACATTTAATTAAGTCTGCAAGTGTGTGGGTTCAAACCACGCAGCTGTTATGTATTTTAGTTTTTTCGTTTGGATTATTATCATATGGGCTTTTTAGTTTTTATATTTTTATATTTTTTTTTCCTCTGGACTTATTATTTAGAGCCCAAAATAGTGGAAAAATCCTAAAGTTTGACGAACTCAAATCCAAAAACAATTAAAAATGGATCAAAAAACGAATATCCAAAAAAAAAGAAAAAAAAACGAGTCTCCCGCGGCACTATCATGTCCTAATATATATTTTTACTGTTAGAACATATTTCCTAATATATATTTTCAAAAAATTATGTATGTGAAATAAAATAAAGTAAATAGTTTTGTTATTTATAAAATAACTATGTAATTTCTCTTCAATTTTTAATAGTTACTATAATTTCATTTTTATCAGACTCCGGCGGATGGATTTCCACAGTCGATGACGCTGTAAAGAAAAATACCACATTATTCATGAACAAAATCCAAACTTACAAAAAAACATATCCAAACCTATCTATTGAAACCCAAACAACAAATATTAGCTTAATTTAAAGTTATTGTCAAATTGATTAATCGTTTAGTACAAATATAAATATTATAAATAAATATTTATATCAAGTTTTGACATCCGATATAAAAACTATTTCCAACATAAAAAAAAACAATATAGACATCTATTTTTATACACTAAAAACTATATTATAATTTAGTTATTCCTATAAACCTTATTTCTTATATAAATAACATTTAACACATTATATATATAATATTTTCACTTTGCACTCTTGCTACATTCTTTCCATTTCATCATTATTTGGTATTATTAGAATAACCTACTAAACCAACAACCGAAAAAAACACAGATCCCGGCTCCGCGCTTGCGCGGGGGTTATGCAGCTAGTAATAATAACAAAATAGTACCTAGTGGTAGTTTAACTGATAACATCAACCATGTATATCAGCTAAGATATAGTGGACACTATATTATAAGATCCAATAGGTAATAAATAAACAAATCAGTAAATATAGATATAAACAAGGTTTAAGATTGTGTTCCATATCAATATTTTCACAGATCTAAATAAAATGTTCTTCTTTGTTGACAGGTGTAGGATCATGCCACTTTCCATCTACAAGGTAGATCTCTGGAAAAAAAACAGATTATTTATCTAATAATAAGAACACAAGAATTTGTGAGATGATGACTATCTATGTTTGAAAATTGTGATAATTGCAGCACGAATGAATCGACATTGAACGTAAGTGAAGATGGATTAGGGCTTTTTGGGAGAATACCATCGCACCCGACTCCCAAGCCCGAAGCTTCACGCTCCTCTTCCACAACTTCCTCATTTCTTTACTTCCATACTCATTTTCTTTGCTTTTGTTTTTGTAGCATGTTCATGTGGTGGTATTAGACTATTAATTTAGTCATGTAATGTAATATAAATCGAAATTTTAAGCTAAAAAGTCTATAGTTAGTTTTAAAGTCAGTTTCAAATTTAACCGTTGATATTATACACATATATATATGTATATATTACACAATATTTATTAATATATTATATCCATACTAATATATCACTAGAAACAAAATTGGAACAATCAAGATATCAAAAGGAATGACCATTTTTTGGTTCTTACACAGGTTTGGTGACAATCAAAATATCAAAAGGAAAGAAAAAAAAAGATAGATAAATATCAAATAAAAATTAAAAAAGAAGGAAATAAATAATCAAACATTGTAACAGGATATGTTCGTTCTTCGAGTGTTCTGCTCCTCTTCATCCGGTGAAATTGGTTAGTTTAGCTGATGTTTCATCTTCTAGGTGCTCTATTTCTCTAATGTTTCTGATGTTTCATCTTCTAGGTGCTCCATTTCTCATGTTAATTAGATGCTGTCATAAGTTCAAGAACTCCACAACATTCCTTCCAAGACGTCCTCGTCTCAACCCCGCGCTCACCAGACGCTAATAGAGGCTGCAAACATACATCCAATTTGTCAAAATCATGTGAGGATTACAATATTCTTGTAAGTGGCAATTTCACTTTCTTTTTTTTCTAAATGGGTTTTATTATAATGGAGAGTTTTGCTTAAATACTGTGACCTGATTGTCTGTCGATACAAGAAGATCTAGGCTCCATGCTCGATGCTCCATCAGAATCATTAGTAACAAGCTCCAACGAGCTTGGAGGAAACTTCAGTCCTCTTCTCTTCAAAACCATGAAGCAGAGGGCATAATCAAGTCTTGTACGTTTCCATATTCGAAACTTTTACAAACTTATTTTATTTGAATTCTTTTTTTTTTGCGAATTGTTTTTTCAAATTTTCTTTTTGAAATTCGAAAATTCATTTTGAAACTATTTTTGTTTTTTAAATGTAGATTAGTTAACCATATGTTTATAAGTCTTTATTTATTTCTATAAAACCAAGATTAAATGTAGTTTATATAAACATGAAAATAACTATTTGGAATTAAAGTGGTATTTTAAGCAATTTCTCTATTAAGAAAACTGTTGAGTTGGAACAAAATAGAAAAAAGTTACATGTCTTAAGTCATGGGTATCGCATGGAGAAGTACAATATAAATTATGATGGCTTTGGATAGTAACTCTTTGTTCATACCAGTAGTAAGCAACCAATAAGACAACCCAGTTATCATGAGAAGTTATATTCCTTCCAAGATCACCCTATTGTAGTCCATATGACAAATTTATGTGGTTTGTAATCTTATTGGCTAATAGAACATTGTTATTCACATGAACACTTAGGGTTCTACCTTCCTCACATAAGCCATGTATGACGAAGTTAGGCTTTTATGAATCTTGAATTTGAGTTTTCTTTTGTATATAGGAGAGTTTTGTTTCTTGTTTTAGGTTGAGAAGCTTCTTGTGAATGTTTAATTGGCTTTTAGAAGTTCCTTATAATCCATCACTCATCACAAAAGAAATTACTTGCTTTTGGGTTTTTTGGTTCTTACATTTTACACAAGTTCATGTGAACAATCAAGATATCAAAATACAAAACATAAACAAAGACACATAGACACAATCTCAAACCAAAACAAAAAAAGGAAGGAAATAAATAATCAAAAATATTTTACATATGGGTTCTTTGTTCTAGTGCTCTCTCTGTTCTTCTTCTTCATCAGCTTGACCTTTCATTTTGTTGTAGATGTCTTGAGAAGATCAAGAACTCCACAACAGTTTTTCCACCATGGTGTCGTATCAACCCCACGGTCACCAGTTAACAAAGGCTGCAAACACATATCCAATTTGTCAAAATTAACTGAAATTATACAATCTTCTAGTAAGAGAGTTTTTGTTTAAAATCTGACCTGATTGTCTGTGGATATGGGAAGGTCTCGGCTTGCAACGGTGTTGCTACTCGATGCTCCGCCAACAACATTAGTAACAGCTCCAACAAGCTTGGAGGAAACTTTAGTCTTCTTCTCCTCCAAAACATGAAGTATAGATTTGGCTCCTTCTATACCTCTTGACATAGCATTTTCCACAGCTTCTCTTGCCTAACCACATCAAAATATGTTATTTTTTGGGGGGACAAACAAACATGTAAAACTTGGTGTAAGAGTGACCAAGAACCAACCTGTGTGGACACATCAGACACTTTCCCTGGCGCGGCTTCGGCCTCGGTCTTGACCGTTTCAGTTGTGGCTGCAACGGTTTTCTCAGCATCGGTTAAAGAGGTTCTGGCAGTTTCAGTGGAAGCTGCAACGGTTTTCTGAGCATCAGTTAGAGAAGCACCGACAGATTCAGCGCTGGCTGTGACGGATTCCTTGGCTTCATTAACAGCAGAAGTTGCCTTTTCCAAGAGAGAGGCCATTATCTATCTGCTGATGTTGGAATGTTTTTGTCAGAGAGAAACAGAGATTTATATAATAAAAAGAAGAAAAAGAAGAATGTGAAAGGAAGTGAGCTGTTAAAGAAGCTATTTCAACGTCGCCAGCGAAACAACTATTCAGAAACTCCAAACGTGATCACCTTTATCAAATCTTGAAATTAATTTGACAAGAAATCTATTACCTTTACTATTATAATTTATAATTATATGTATCAACAATATAATAATGAGAAAAGAATTGGTTTGCATTACCTATTCAAAGGGGTTTATGATTGAAGTATGAAGTTGTCCTACATTGAATTGTATTGCCAGCTTCTTAAATTACATAACCAACTAGAAGACAGCTCCTTTTAATGCCCTCACTATTTTCTTTTTTTTCCCCTTTTTGTATGTATAAAAAGTTTTGGATATACGCTTCAAAATTTGAATCGGTATGGTCACTACTTCCGACGATGGTTGATGCATCACTAATTATGATTATCATGGTGCAACCATATATTGCAATGTTAATCAAAATGGTGGGGTAAAAATATCAAGTCTTTAAGAACTAAATTGCTTAAACTTTTTTTTTTTCAAAAAGTTATTTTTTTGGGGATAAATTACTTTAGGGTTGTTTAAAACTAACCAATCAAAACAAAAGTGGAGTAAGAATAATTATTCTTAATTCTCTAGTAGTGAATGAACTATCTCACCTAAAAATACTAGTGGATTTAAAAAAAAAAAAATAGTGGAAAACAAATAAATTAGTACATTTTAAAGTTAGGAGTGTAACCCCATGGATATGCCGACATAAAACGTGATTTGTAGTATTTTTTAGTTATTTCATAATCAGCTGAGAATATAAAAATAATTTGTATGTTTAATAAATTATGCTCCAGTTTGGCTACATTGCTCGTCATGCTCCAGTTTGGCTACATTG